CGCAACTTTAGGATTTGGTATTTTGAAACCTAGAAAAAAATAAAATCATTAATTTAGGGGAGTTATGTGATAAATCTATCTAAATCTTGTATACGTCACGTTTTACAATTAAAGCAATTTAAATATAGAGATTAAGATATTTTGAATCTCTGATTTAAACAAAGACCATAAAAAATTTGATTTGGTATTTTGAAATTTAAAAAAAAAAAATTCATTAATTTAGAGGATGATATGTGATAAATCTATCTAAATCTTGTATACATCACGTTTTACAATTAAAGCAATTTAAATATGGAGATTATTCTTATTTCAAATCTCTGATTTAAACAAAGACCATAAAAAATTTGATCGTTTCAAAATTAGACCCGTGTATTATTTTTCTTTATAAATAATTGTCAAACAAAACAATTGAATAACCGCAACTTTATTCTTTTAATTGAAACTGCCCGATTTGATGGTTAGAAAAAATGTTTTCAAAAGAAATAAACAAATAATTTTTTTAATTTTTTTTTATAATTTTACCCTTAAATTAGCCGTAATTTTGTTTAAATAAAATTTGCTAATCAAAACATATGTATTAGCCGATTTTATAGAAAAAAAAGTTTCCGATATTTTGAAAATACAAAAGCATATTTTTATGGTTAGAAAAAATAACATATAAATTTTTTTATTACTAAATTAGTCGTAATTTTTTATTAAAAAAAACTGTCAAGCAAAGCAATTGTATTAGTAGAATATTTAGTTTTAAATTTGGAGAATATAATTGGCCGATGTTTAATTGAATTAGCAGTCGTGACGTACATTTTTATTCAAATTTAAAAATAGCTTATTGTAACCAATAACCAAATTTAATTGATGCAGCCTGTGCATTATCAGTTTTTTATATATACATCGTGTCAAACCATCGCAAATATTCGTTAGACCAAATTTAAATCGCAGCCCACTTTTTTGAAAATAAAAAAATAACAAACTGCTCATTTTAAGGACAACATTTAATGTTGTCCCTTTTTTAGTAAAAAATATATTAAAAATATACTATAAATAGCATGTAATTAATGCTGATCAGTTTTGACCAAAGATTGACTTACTATTTTTGATAAATGTTAATTCTTATTATATATATATAGATTTGGCATCTGAGTTCATATTGTCTTAATGTTTGTTTACTTTGATGTTCCCTGTGCCTTACGTTTCTTCAACTCAGTTTTCGCGTAATTGTTCTCAATATGAGCTACACTAATGTCAACGATGAGTCATATGAACGGTCATTTCGATTTTTTGTTCGGGTGTTGGGTACCTATTCTTGCGGCTCGTATTCCTTACATGATTAATCCGTAATATATATGTTCACATTCTAAATTTGGGAGTTCTTATAGTTTTGTCTATGACAAATTGATTCCTCGTTTTCAAATGTGAACCCCCCTAATGATATGTAAATATTATTTTTGTAGATTACACGTAAAACGATGGTGAAGGCTGTAGTAGTTCTTAGCAGCAGTGAGGGTGTTAGTGGAACAATTCACTTCAACCAAGACGGAGATGGTACTATTCATTTTCCATTGCACCAATTTAACAGTGGTCAGTTTTTGTTATGTTCCAATTGGTGAGATGTATTTTTTTTTATTTTTAATGTTACAGGCCCGACAACTGTGACTGGAAACATTTCCGGCCTAAAACCCGGGCTCCATGGATTTCATGTACATGCCCTTGGTGACACCACCAATGGTTGCGTGTCGACTGGTAAATTCTCTTGCAGTTTTTTCTTGTTATTTTACTGATTCTCTTTGTGTGTATGAATACTTGGTTTTTACATTGAGTGATGTTTTAGATTTAACTCGTTTCCTTTTTCTGAACAATTTTTTTTCATGTTCTATAAATTTGGTCTCTAGGACCCCACTTCAATCCAGCTGGCAAAGAGCATGGTGCCCCCGATGATGAAGTTCGCCATGCTGGCGACCTTGGTAACATCACTGTTGGGGAAGATGGTAATTGTCTTCATCTTATGTTAAAAGAAAAATAAAATTTAAATCCATTTATGTTTGAAAAAGTTTGTCTTTGTGCCAATTTCAAAGTATGATTTGTTTGAAGTCACCGCATTATTCGAAACATATCTGAACAGAATTAGAAGGCATTTGCTAATAGAGTTAGAGGTCCTATCTTTTTTTACTCTCACGTATGCTTATTCTGTTCTAGACTTGAATTTTTGTTATGTGCTGAAAAATCATTTAGATGTTGGGAGAGCAAATAAATTATTTTCAGGTGTTTTGACTTTTGATACCAATATGTCAAAATATAAGCTCTTATGTTTGCTTTTCTTTGCTGTTACTTTTGTTTTCCCCTCAGGTATAGCTTGTTTCACCATTGTTGATAAGCAGGTTTGTATTTCTCACCATAGTAACACCTGCTTAGTTAAAATGTTGTCTTTTTTCCACCTTTCTTTTCTTTTTGAAGCTATATTGTATTTGGAACTTCTGCAGATACCACTTTCTGGACCAAATTCCATAGTTGGACGAGCTGTGGTTGTCCATGCTGATCCTGATGATCTTGGACGAGGTGAGTTTATAAGTTCTATCTATTTCCCAAGATAATCAAACTCGATTTTAACAGCTAGCAGTAAGTTTAATCTAACTTAACAGTTAAACATTTGCTTATAGCATGATACTTGATAAACAGCATATCAGATATGGTGGTGCTGGTAGATAATTAATCAACCGTTTATAAACGATGAATGTTCAAATTGGTTTAGTGCTTATTGTTTTTGTTTTTGTTTGCTGCAATTACTAAACAATACATCTGTATATCTGAATGCTGGAAAATAATTATTTGAAAAATGTGATTGTCTATGAAAAATCGGTAAGTCTTGTGTTAAGCCGGCCTAATTTCAGTTTTTCACAACTTCTACTTTCCTTAGAAAATATCATACTTTAAAAATGTTCATAAACAGAATTTACTGGGTATGTTGTTGTTGTTGTATAAACAGAATTATGACAAAGTGTGACGTTTGACACAAGAATTTGTAATGAAAAATAACACTTCTTGAGGTTATCTCACCACTTGCATTTTGAAATCATATAAAATTTGTTCTACCATCTAATGACTGCCTCTTTTTGTTCAGGTGGACATGAACTGAGCAAATCCACTGGAAACGCTGGTGGAAGAATTGCTTGTGGTAAGGAAAAATAATTGTTGAATCTATATTAAAATGCATATCGATGCAAGAAAAAAATTAGTCTACAATGTCATTATTTCAAGTACTGTTGCTGCTACTTCACATTGATGAACTTACAACTGATTATATTAGCCACTCTTATAATTTTGTCAGAATTAGTGTTTTTTCGCCATTAATAGATAGTATTAACTCAGTTGAGGCAATTCTATCTGTAACTTCATCTTTAAGATAACTTTCGTACTGAACTACTTTGGAATTAACTAAGACTGACCATAAAAGAGGTTCGTGTTTTTACTCTTTGCTGCAACTATCGACTAACTATTTATTTTTTTATTTTTTTTTGATAATTTTTTGCAGGTATAATTGGTCTTCAGGACTAAGTAAAATCTACATTTGTGTGGGTTTTAATTTTTATTGTCTTAGTAACCGGTTTGTGGGTAGACATGTTCGCATTTGCACTTTAGAAGGGTTTTTGCAATAAAAAAGCAGTGTTGGATTCTGTGTTTTCATGCGTAATTTTAACCTTTGGTGCTGTTTTTTAGAGTCTAATGGTGACCGAGTTATTCGAGTCTTCGATTAATTTGAAACTATTGAAGTTTGTGGCCTCGATCTATTAGAAAGGTAACTTATAATGTGATGAAAGATAAAGAATGCGAAAGTGATTGGATGGTATTTTTCTCCTTTTTGTTTTGTTTCATCTATTTTTTTTCTTTTTACGTAAATACAATCGAATACAAAACTTTTTAAGAAAATTCTATTCACCAGATCGAATTTTTGTGTTTTTTAATATTATTAATATAATTAAATAAATAATAACATATCAATAACTACGTATTTTCTAATTATTATATTTTATTTCATGTCTTTCCACAATTTTGAATTATTTAATTTTTCCAGATTTTTTTTCCCACTCTCTAGTTTACTTTTGCTTACTTTGTAATTCTTTCAGTCGAATAAATAATCTATATCTAATCAAACTTAATTAACATATTCAATTTTTTGATTGCCAAAAACCAATTTTTTAACTATCTTGCCAATTTGTTTGAACCCGGGTGTGGTTATATACGAATCAGCTTGTTCATTTTGGACTGCTTTGCATGTGATGAGTAGCCGCGTGACCCATATTGGCAGCACTGACCCGACAACCAGTTCACACATGTGACCCATGTTTTATTTCTTATTTTTATCATTTTCCTTCTAGATCTATACATATAAATATTTGTATATATATATATATCCGCTAAAAATGAGTTTTTTTATTAACTAGAATTAATTTTGATAAAAATGGTATAGCTAGTTGTTAATGAGATTTTGAGGTTATATTAAAATAGTATTTAAAACAAAATAATTTAAAGTTAGTTTGATGTAAAAATATGAGAGTGATGATTTTTTTTCCACTGCCTACTTATATAAATAACACTAAGGCTACATTAGGTACTATCATACTTTTTTAATATATGTTCATACTCTGAAATTAAAATGTCATACTTTAAAATAAATAAATAAATAAAAATATGACATTTTATAATATAAGTATAAATTATTAAAAATGTATGGCTGATCGATTCGTCTGACACTTAAACCGTCTCACACACAAATTTGTATATAAAGAATACGTTTGTTTTTTCTAACACTGACTACACATAGTAAACAATACAAATGCTACCTGAATTTTAGAAGAGAATTGTTATATTTTGATCAATGTATCAAATAATAATTGTGGAATAATAAATATTAAATTTATAAATAAATTTAAAGTACTAAAAAAAGAAGGAAAACTATCGCATTGGCCCATGCCACTCTACAATTCACGGTCAGAATTGGTTGGGTGGTCGGATCATGAAAGAAACGGGTACGGATTTTGTACACAAAATTTTTTTGTTTTATACTTTTATTTATTTATTTATTATATTATTTTATTTTTATCAAATACTTTTTCAGTTTTCACCAACCAAAACCAGCACAGCCATCATCTCCTTCCTCACCAAACCACCAAATTCCATCACATTTTCCACTCTTCAAAACTCTCAGTACGTAGATAGATACACTATACTTACAAAACCCCCACTCCGAAACCCACACACAGTTCTCACACCTGACAAGCCACTCAAAGCCCAACCACTTTATGCTACAAACTGTAACCTTCTTCCCTGCAACAAGATTTTTCCACCCCGAAAAATTGGGTATATTTGGTGAGCATTAAGGTACGTCTCTCTCTCTCTCTCTCTCTCTCTCCCCTTTTTTTTCGGATTTATTTTGGTGGTGGAATATAGTATCACTCTTGGAAAAAGGGGTGAATTGAATTTGAAAATGCGATCAGCAGCTCACATATCTGGCAAACTTATGTTGGGTTTTGAATCCCTTTTCAAGTGTTTGAATTATTTTGCGTTCTTTGGTAATGGGTGCTCAAGAACAGTTTTTTTGTGCTACAATCTTCTGCATTAGCTGGTTTTGGCATCTGGAACTGTGACTAATGACTATAGTCATTGGGGAATTTTGTTTTCTTCTTGTCGAATTTTCAGCTGATAGAGACCCATTTCGAAATTACTTGAGATTCTCAAACAGCTTTAATGGCGAGTGGGGAGGGTATAAGGAAGAATCAAACCTTGATATGTGCACCATTAATGGCTGACACAGTGGATCAATTGGTGGAGTTGATGCACCGGGCAAAATCGAAGGGAGCTGATATTGTGGAAATTAGGTTGGATCACTTGAAGAGCTTTAATCCTCATGTGGATATCGAGAAGCTAATCAAAGCATGCCCTTTGCCAACTCTATTTACTTACAGGTTGATAAGCAGCTGCCTTTTCTGATTATGGGTTCCTAAGTTATTTAGTTTTCAGGAACTGATATCTTAGTTAAATAAGTCATGGTATGACTTGTACGTCTGAACAGGTAGGTGAAGGGGGTGACATATCCATTTTATATTGCAAGAAAGGATATAAAATTATAGTTGGTTGAAGTTGTATCATGTTCTGTGTATCATGATGTTGCATCTGATGAAAAAAAGAAGACTGAATTGACAGGATTGGCATATGCTATTCCATACAAATCTAGTGTTCTGCTCTGTTGAATTTTCACTTTCACAAAGGCATTTGGTGTTAAAATATGAGTTCTGTTGATGAGAATGAGAAGTATATAGAGGAATAAAAATGCTATGGATCCCTTATGTTAACCATAAAATATATTGCTTCTTGTCAGATGTTTGACCCTTTCTCTTCATTCCTGTACCTCATTGTATTTGTAGTGTAGGACCTCGCCCAACAAAAATTAACGATTCAAAAAAAAGCTAAATCAAGGTTCAGTATCGTCATATATTTCAATCTCGTCCATCATTGTACGCTAATCAATTATATTTTGTAAAATTTATCCCTTTTCTATTTTCAGAATATCATAGAAAATACATAAAGCTATTCATAGATGATTACGCTATAAGTGGCTAAAGGCTATATCATTAGCTGTAGTGACTCTAAAACACTATTTTGTTTACTTAAATTAATTTGCGAAAATAGGATTCTGAAGTTTGCACATCTTTGGCGCCGTTTTATCCACCTTTCAAATTTTCATTATTTCATTATTTTACATAAGGTATTTGGCAGTGTATACTCCGGAAAGTGTTCATTTCGAGAACCTGATATAATATTTTTCTTCTAGACCTATTTGGGAAGGTGGTCAGTATGATGGTGATGAAAACAGTCGTTTCAATGCACTTAAATTGGCCATGGAGTTGGGAGCTGATCACATTGACATTGAGCTAAAGGTACACTTATGTCTTGGATTTTAGTTTATTCAAAACATGTACGTGGTCCGTGGATGTCGAAAATCGTGGCGTTGCGTCTTCTGCATAAATTTTAAGTATTGATGATATTTTCTTGGAAGAATACCTACAATTTTCTATTTAACACACTCTATTCACGAGAAAAATATTAGCCTTGCCTTTGGTGGCATCTATGTATTAACTAGCTACACATCCGTAAAAGCCAGGTCAGCATGCGGCTACTAACATAAAATAACTGCATGTTATATTTTTCCTCTATAATTTATCCTTGTAGCTAGAAGCAACGAAAATAGCACAAAAAATTTCCAAGATCTTCTAGGCTGATTTTGATCTCAGGAGAATAGTTGATATTTCTTTGTCATTGTCTATCATAATAACTTCATCATGATTTCTTATTCTTTGAAGGCTGCTCACGAGTTCAACAGTTTCTTGCATGGAAATAAGCCTGAAAAGTGCAAAGTTATTGTTTCTTCACACAATTACGATAATACCCCTTCCGCTGAGGAACTGGGGAACCTGGTTGCTAGAATTCAAGCAGCTGGGGCTGACATAGTCAAATTTGCCACAACTGCAACAGATATCACAGATGTTGCGCGGGTTTTCCAAATTACAGTCCATTCTCAAGTGAGTACTGAAGCATTAAAGCAAGTTTGTTTCATACATTTTTCTTTCTAATCGTGAAAGGTCCCTTTTGTCTATGCATGCATCCCAATAGTGGATCTTGTCATCAATTTGCGAATCAAGATTTTCCATGAGGGAGGGAGTCCAAAAAGTTGTAAATGGCGAAAGATGCTTTTCTTCTTAACCAAATGTGAACTTTCAGCCGTAAAATGATTTTAGTTTGTTCATCTGTCACTCCTTCAGTGATACTAACTTAAAGGTAGACAATAAATTACCCTTTTATCTATAAATATACAAATAATTTATATATTTAGAATTAATTTCATAAACTAACTCGAAAACACCTATCTCCTTAAATTATGATAATCCACATGGCATTTGTTTCCCTTCCTCAAGAACCTCAAGGAGTGTAGTATCCCTTTTTTAGTGTTGCACTTTTTTTCTTCAAGTGTTTCATGCTCGTATTCATACGTTGATTAGATTAAACACGTGGTGACGGTTAGGTGCTTCAAATATTACAGCTTCTGTGTTAATCTTAAATTTGTAGTCAAATCTTCAGATACCAATAATTGCCATGGTTATGGGTGAAAGGGGACTCATATCAAGAATACTCTGTCCTAAATTTGGTGGATATCTCACGTTTGGCACTCTCGAGCCAGGAAAAGTATCTGCACCTGGACAACCAACAATCCAAGAGTTGGTTGACTTGTTCAACTTTAGGTTGATCGACTCTCATACAAAGGTATTTGGTATCATAGGGAAGCCGGTTAGTCACAGCAAGTCACCCAAGCTGTATAACACAGCTTTTAAAAAGCATGGATTCAATGGAGTGTTTTTGCATTTATTGGTGGATGATGTTCAGAGATTCTTTGAGACATATTCCTCGCCGGATTTTGCTGGTTTCAGGTGAAGGTTTAAATTGCCGTATGGTGGTTTTCATGCAGGCATGATGTGCCTGTCACTCGTTTTGCCCTCTGTTTATCATCTCAATATGTGTTTCCATTCGAATTTTGTCTTTATAAATGTGTTGTTTAAGTTTGTAAGGTTAGTTGCAAATTTATCTTTGATCTTAGTCAAAGTGAAATAAAAAAAAAAATGTTAAATGTCATCCACAGTTACCGGTGCCTCCTTGATATTAGTTTCTGTTTTACAGTCACACCCACAATAGGGATCATTTGTTAAGTAAATTGGAACCCCGAATCATTGGTTATATTATCATAAGGTGTATTTTACTATTTTACTGTTTTTAATCTTAAACGATAGGTGGATTCTCTTTATTTCTAGTTGTTTATATATACCTTTTATTTTTATAAATAGGCTGAACCTAAGCGGTAGGTCTACCATTTTCCTATTTGTTAATTATTTCAGTCATCTTGTACTTGAGCCTTCCCCTAGTTTATTTTCAGATCGTTCATGTGAACATCTTTATCTTGAGTTGCAGTTTTTATGTGCTATTTTAAATCTTAGTGCCATACATTACCAGGAATTTTACTTTACAGTGTACATCTTGTTACTCCACTATGGAAGTAAGCTTAATGAGGAATTCATCTTGCAGCTGTACGATTCCTCATAAGGAAGTGGCTCTCACTTGCTGTGATGAAGTCGATCCGGTTGCCAAGGTAGTTTATTACATGTTTAGCCCGTTTAGCCCAGTAATTATGATAATCAAAATTTTCTAACCCTCGCTAATGTAACATATTTGAATCGTAATCTGATTCTTGAACTTAACCAGTCGATAGGAGCAGTTAATTGCATCCTCAGACGGCCTAATGACGGGAAGCTGTTTGGTTGTAACACAGACTACATTGGTGCAATTTCTGCAATCGAGAGTGGCCTTCAAGGTTTCTTCTATAGCTTTTCTCCTTCTGTTTTGCGCAATCAAATGCGACTATTGATATTCTTAAACGGGATACCTTATTTTTTTATTTGTTCAAAGCTTCACATGGAGCAAGTGGGACCGAGTCACCTTTAGCGGGTAAGCTGTTTATAGTGATTGGTGCTGGAGGTGCTGGAAAGGCACTTGCTTATGGTGCTAAAGAAAAGGGTTCGAGAGTTGTGATTGCTAACCGTACTTATGGTTAGAATCTCTCTGCTCCTATTCTCCGATTCTTAATATATATATTTTTTTTTCTTATGGTTCTGATTTTTTCTTTTGTACTTGTTGTTTATAAAAAAGATCGAGCTAGAGAACTAGCTGATCTTGTGGGAGGGCAGGCTTTGTCTCTGGCTGAGCTGAGTAGCTTCCATCCCGAAAAAGGAATGATACTTGCTAACACAACTTCTATCGGGATGCAACCGAGAGTTGATGAGACACCTGTTCCTAAGGTCTGTTGATTTGTGTACAAAAATTCTTTATGAGTATATAAACCAAAAAATATATATATAAAAAAATGTACTATTCTCGAAATAGAAACAAACGTCGTGGGGTCTTCTGATTTTGAAGAAAAATGTGTGTTGATTTTTTTGTGTTAGACTATTGTCTTTATTATTATTATTATTATTATTATTATTATTATTATTATTATTATTATTATTATTATTATTATTATTTTTAGTTTGTTATTTTTCTGCTATGGAAATCGATAATTTGTGAATGTTATGATTCTTTCTTCTGCACTCGGGCTACAATTGTTCACCATTTGTTCGAGAATGATGAATAGAGTGTAATGTTGTTTCTCTTCTCTAGTTTTCTGATAACTATATCTGAACCTTCCAATTAATATATGGTTTTGCAGGAAGCTTTGGGATCTTACGAGCTCGTATTTGATGCGGTTTACACCCCCAAAATCACTAGGCTCCTTCGTGAAGCTGACGAAATGGGAGCGAAAATCGTGACAGGTGTCGAAATGTTCATTGGTCAGGCTTATGAACAATACGAGAGGTTCACTGGCTTGCCAGGTAAAGAACAACCTTAAAAAATGAAAAAAAGAGAAGAAAAGGTTTTTACTATCTGATACAATTGCCGATTTCACTTTTTAGCTTATTATTTATCGTTTGGTTGCAGCTCCAAAGCAACTGTTCAAGGAAATCATGAAAGATTACTGACCGATTTCCTTCAGCTATAAAGAAAATCGCGTCTCGTTTGCACGCGTGCACGATTGTTGTCATTTTATCTATCTTGTTGTATCATTCTTTCCTTGTTCTTACATCCCAGGTAGATTGTGATTTGTCGTCGACCAGAGGATTTTATTTTATTTTTTCTTTCAGTAACAGCAGTGGATTTTTGACTGTTGGAAGGGTGATATGCAGTCATGAATTGATGAATCTTTAGACTTTGTACTTAATATCCTCGTGTAAAATGCAAAACTATGAACAAGACGGTTATGTTATGGTGTAAGTTGTTGTTTCAATATGAATATCAATATGAATAAAAAAAAAAAACACAATTAATTTGATTTGTTATCCATTGAAAACTGTCCAAAAAAAGAAAAAATGTGAAATTTGTTATTAGAAAAATTGCAGTGACGGCCCGTTGGTTTTTTCAGGTTTTAATCAATTGACATTAGGTAAAAAGTACTACTTAGTAATTAATTATACATCAATTTGCTCAGTTAGCTTTGGGAAAAGTAAACGAAATTGTATATTGTTGTAGCTTTTCGAATCGAATTCTAATTTCTAGGTGAAGGATCATGAAATTCTATGTTATTTTAAGTTTCTCAACGTAATGTCAATGGATTACCGAGGGATTTTCCTTATGGTTAACGAAAAATACAATCATTGGAAAAAATTCCAAAGAGTTACCAACAAATTTGCAAAGGAAATGTTCTATAACATTGTCAATAGATTCTCATAATGCAGTTATTAAATAATTCCGTTGGCAAATTTTACTAACATAACGCCACCGACGTATATTTTTCTGACGGATATGTTCTCAACATATTGCCGACGATTAGAGTAGTGGCTAAACATTTTCGTTGTCAAACTACCAAAAAATTTTTTTTCAATAAATTACCATTGGATTTTTTCCCAACGGATTACCAACGATTTCCTTTCCAACAAATATTTTTCCAACGAAATATCAATGGAATTTCCCAACGCATTACCAACGGAATCCTTCAATGATTTATGATATGTCTGTTGGTGTTCGTTGGCAAATAAATAATATGTATTCGTTGCAAATTCGTTGGTATTTACCAATAGAAGATATATATTACTATAAATTAGTAATAGGGATTTACTTTAAGTAGAAAGTAAAATCTCGCCTAATAATACTTTGAAAAACTAGCGGTTGATTTGTAATTTCAATTTCAAATTCAATCTTTCAAAGGAAAATATCATAAGCAGATTTTTTTTTAATACATTCAATTTTATCTTAACTTACATATAATCACATTCATAACAAACATTAAATATGCTTATATATTTTTAAATTAATTACATGAATAAATACAATTAATTATACATTAAATATTTATCATTATATAAAAGAACAATATTATTTCTATGAGTGTTCTAAATAATAATGACATTACAACAATAGATTAGATTTCTTAAAATAATATTTGAGTATCATGATGAACCAAAATATGTAAAATTATTATTTTTTCTGCATTAAAAAATGAATATATATGTTAAAATATTACTTATGTTAATATAAACGGGTCAGCGGACTAATATATTGTTAAAATAAAGTTTTGAACAAATGTTCTAAAGTACGAAACCCCCGTGCATCGAACGGGGTTCTCACTCGTTCGTTGGAAAATAGCAACGAAATATTCAGTTGTTAATATGGTTATGAACAAATCCATTGCAATTTTATTGGTATTTATCAACGAAATATTCTTGTTAATAAAATTGCGAACGTTGCAAACCAGTTGATATTTATCGATAAAATATCTTCGTTGCTATTTGGCAATATTTCCTTTGAGAAATGATTGATAATATGTTTGTTGGTGTTTCATTGTTATTTCTCCAACGAAATATTTTGTTGGTGAATTAATAATATTGTATGCCTCGCAAGTTCGTTGGTGTTTAGCAACGGAAGATGCCCATTGGGAAATAACAACGGAATATTCCAGAAATCCGTTGGTAATTTAACTATGAACAAAAATCCCTTAGTTTTCCGTGTACGATTGTTCTAAGAGTGGAATCTCTTCTTTGAATAGGCTATTTCCCTTTCTCTCATCAACACCCTCAAAGTCAGTAGCGAAGTCCCTGAGGACTGAGGAACGATAAGGTAGTCCCACCTTCAGATTCTTTATTCCATTTTGCGACACTATCCAAGGGTCAAAGTCGTTGCAATATTTTATTAGTATTCTATTGATAATTCTTATAAAACAATTATATATATAATGAATTATTAATCCGTCAACAAACAATATTTTTGTTTGTAATTTTTGTTGCCTTGTAGCGTGGAGTAAATTGTTGTTAAACAATTTTTTTATGTTTCCCAATTTTAATTAATACTAGAATAGATTAAAATCAAATAACAATGTAAACATATTGTAATTAAGTGTAGAACTTTTGGCAAACGCCATATTTAAAGGATTAATGTATCGGTTGGTATTACTGGTATCTGGTAATATTGGTCTATGATATTAGAAATATTTTCATTCCAACCAGACCACCACCAATATACAATATCCGGTATCGGGTAATACCACCACCAATATATATAATATCCACAATATATAATATCCGGTACCGGGCAATACTGGTCTCTAGTATTACAAATATTATCGTACAACCCACTAATATATAATATCATGTATCTGGTAATACAAATATTATTGTACCAACCAGACCACCAATATATACTATCAGCATATATAATATTCCGTATCTGTATCAACCAAACCACGAATATATAATATCCTGCATCTGGTAATACTGGTATTGCAGATATTACCCGTACCAACCAGACCACCAATATATAATATCCGGTATTAAATAGACCACCAATATATAATATCGGGTATCTAGTAATACAGGTATTGCAGATACCGACCAGACCACCAATATATAATATACGGTATCTGGTAATACTGGTCTCTAGTATTACAAATATTACCGTACCAAACAGACGACAGTATATAATATCTGCAATATATAATATATAAAATATAATATTGCAATATGTAATATCTGGTACCTGATAATACTGGCCACCAATATATAATATCCGTATCTGGTAATACTGGTATTACAGATATTATCGTACAGACCACCAATATCTAATATTGCAATATATAATATCCAGTATCTGGTATTATTACAAATATTACGTAATATAATATTCAGTATCGGGTAATACTGTTATTTCAGATATTACTGTACCAACCAGACACCAATATAATAATATCCGGTATCTGACAATACTAGTCTTTAGTACTCCCTCCATTTTGAAATATAAGGCATATAAAGATTTCTCAATTTTTTTGAAATATAAGGCGCGCTCAAAAATCAAGACAAATTTTTGCATTTTTTTCCAAATATACCCTCATTGTGTTGAAATTAAGGAAGTGTGGAGTGGTTGTGATTAGAGTAAATAAGGTTAATTTAGTCAATTTATTCATTAATTAATGTCTCCTTAATATTTGTGCAATAACCTTAAATGTCTTATATTTCAAAATGGAGGGAGTATTACAAATACTAATGTACCAACCAGACCACCAAACAAATATTACTGTACCAACCATACCACCAATATATAATATCTTGTATTGTGTAATATATTACTGTACCAACTAGACCACCTATATATAATATCCGCAATATATAATATCCGGTGGTAATACTGGTATTACAGATATTACCGTACAGACCACCAATATATAATATCTGCGATATATAATATCCGGTATCTGGTAATACTGATATTACAGATATTACGGTATAGACCACCAATCTATAATATCGGGTATCTGGTAGTATTACAGACCACCGATATATAATATGGCAATATATAATATCCGATATCTGGTAATACAGGTATTACAGATATAATCGTACAGACCACCAATCTATAACATCGGGTCTATAATATCTGGTATCTGGTAATATTGGTATTACAGATATTACTGTACAGACCACCAATATATAATATCGCTATATATAATATCCGGTATCTGGTAATACTGTATCTGGTAATACTGGTATTATAGATATTACCGTACAGACCACTAATCTATAACATCGGGTATCTGGTAATACTGGTATTACAAATAATCTATAACATCGGGTATCTGGTAATACTGGTATTACAAATATTACCGTACAGACCACCAATATATAATATCGCTATATATAATATCTGGTATTTGGTAATACTGGTATTACAGATATCACCAGACCACTCATATATAATAATCAGCTATCTGGTAATACTGATATTATAGATAATACATACAGACCACTAATATATTATATCCGGTATCTGGTAATATTAGTATATAGTATTACAAAGGTCACCGTACTGACCGAACTGCCAAAATCCCTAATATTACTCGAAATCTCGGCCAATTTACAAAATCAAGTGAGCCCCCAATTTTCTTTTAATTATTCAAAAAACAAAAAGTGTATATTTTTCGTTTTTCTCGTGTTGAATAAGTATAGACTTGCTTACATTGTTACCCATTTTTCCATTTCATATCCCTCGGATTTATCCAAATGTTTTTACACTACTACATTAGAACTCTCTCCCTAAAAGGACTCCCAAAAAAAATAAAATAAAACACATGTTCACACAAAAAATTCCTCTGCAAGAACGTACAAAACCACACCACCACCACCATTAACCAACACTACACGTATCTTCCATTTTCACTTTCTTCATGTTTTGTTAATTAATCTTTTGTTGTTTCCTTCCAAAAAAAATAAAATAAAATGGGTGCATGCAAAAGAGAACAAGCTATCCGGGCCAAAGACTTGGCCCTCCAGAAGATGTCTGCCCGTGACTTCCAATCTGCCCGAAAACTCGCCGCCCGGGCCCACCTCCTCTGCCCGGACCTCAACGGCCTTACCTCAATCATCCTCGTCTGCTCAGTCCACTGCTCGGCCGATGCTTCGCAGGCGGCAGAGCTCGACTGGTACAAAATCCTCCTCGTGGGCCCCACGGCCGACGAGCCCACCATCAGGCGGCAGTACAGACGTATGGCACTCTGTCTCAGACCGGACAAAAACCCGCTTCCGGGTGCTGACGAGGCATTCGGGCTCGTCCGCCGGGCCCGGTCCGTTCTGGCGGACAGCGAGGAAAGGAGGGCTTATGATAGCCGGAGGAAAAATTCCGGCTTGTCGGGTTCCGTTTTGCAGGGCAACAGGGCAGAGGATAATAGATTCGGGTTTTCGGGTCTTCGTAATGAATACCGGGACATTAATAACTTTAGTTCGTCAGGGCCAAAATATTCCGGATTTTCTGATTTTGGGTGTGGAAATCCTGTTTTTTCGGAAAAATGCAAGAAAGACACTGGCTTTACAGCCTTCAAGGATGCTAACATCAGTTTCTCCAAGTTTGAGGAGATGGGTTTCGCGAAATTCAAAGATTCGGGCTTGTCCGGATTCCACATCCGACCCGACCCGTCTCCAGATCAGGGATTCGCGAGACGTAGCATCACTAAGGCGAATAATTTACCGGCAAACGGTATTAAACCTTTCGGTTTTGCTGCCGTGCAGGGGAATTTTCTCAAGAAGTTTGGTCCTAAGCCAAATTCGAAAGTTAAGAAGCTGAAAACGCAAAATAAGAAGACGACAGCCGTGAAAGAAGGTGAAAAGGGCAGCGGCCAAGTGGAAAAGTTGAAAAATCTCGAGTACTCGGATTCGGAACTGAATGATTTCGAGAAAGGGAGGGCAAAAAGAAACTTCAACCCGGGACAAATATGGGCCGTTTACGATACCTTAGATGCCATGCCAAGATTCTATGCTCTGATCAATAAAGTTATCTCGGACGATTTTAAGGTTGAGGTTATGTGGCTCGAACCATGTCCTAACAACGAGGATGAAAAGAAATGGCTGCACAACGGCTTGCCAGCTTCTTGCGGTAAATTCAGGCCCGGTGAAAGCGAGATAATAGAAGATCACGCGGTTTTCTCGCATTTAGTGAGATGGAAGAAGGACATTCGGAATATATATCACGTGCATCCTAGAAAGGGCGAGACTTGGGCTATTTTCAAGAATTGGAGCTTGGAATGGCCTTTGAACCCGGGAAATCACATTAAGGGGTTCGAGTTCGATTTTGTGGAGATTCTGTCCGAATATAGAGCCGGGTTTGGTGTAAAAGTTGCGTTTTTGGGGAAGATTAAGGGTTTCTCGACTCTTTTCTGCCGAATGAGTGAGAAACGAGTGGTTTCGGTGAATGATAGGCTTAGATTCTCTCATCGTGTTTCGTCGTTTAAAATGACGAGCAACACGGGCATGAATGGTGATTCGAGTTCGTTTGAACTTGATCCGGCTTCGTTGCCGGTAGGGTTTGGTTTTTCGGAAATTTCGAACATCAGCGGGATTTTCATGTGAGGCGTGCCAGTTTTGCAGAGGGAAGAAATTCACGATTTTTCTTTTAGAGTGGTTTGCTCAAGAAGTGTAGTGCATTAGAGACTAATTTAGGTCAAGAATGAGTAATATGCATTTTCATGAATTAGATGGAGTTTATTTTTTATTTTATTTTATTTTTTGTGTGTTCTTTTTCAAGCAACTGTAAATATGCTTGAGATGAGGAAAAATCAAGGCCAGTATAGTGATGAGTCTGATTTATTTGAGTGAGTTTGTGATTTGAATGACACTAGTAATCAACCCGTGCATTTGCACAGAGAAAAATACTTTAAAAAGATAACAATATAAAAAAAACAAAAATAAATTATAATTTAATTCATGAAAAAAAATATAAATTAAGAAAATAATTTTCAAAATTGATTTTGATCAAGTAATTGCCATGGAAGAGCCGTTACAATCATTTTCTTTATGCTAATACACCCAACCATTTTCATGAGTGAGTGTGACTTAAAATTTGAGTACAATTTTGTAACTCCCTTAATTGGTTTATGTTCATAATTTATGTCATTCAAGCAAGTTATTTTGTAACTTAAAAATGAAATTGAATATTGAAAATTTTGGAGGAAGAATAAAATTTAATGCATGATAATATAATTTAATGTTTTGTTGCTCCTCTTTATATATATATAGATTCCTCTTTATATATATATAGATTAGTTATGTATCCACAAGAATTGTGTTACTAAAGAACACATGAAAAGTTGGGCAAGTTGCCTGTGAAGTTTTTAGCGTATACTTTTCCCTTAAAAGTTGAGCAAGTCTAACTACAACAAGAAAATGGGCAGTTTAAACTGACTTGTCATTGAAACTGTTTGAATTGAAGATCTTGTGAAGAAGATCATGGTGTTCGTGTCCCTTTTCTTTGAGAAAGGTATGTATATATTACTGCAAACTGCTATTGTTGGCTAAATTAAGGAGCATTTTTTGACCAACCAGTTATTGCAGCTGGTGCTGCGTGTAGTTAAACAGAAGCTCGAATATGAAAGGTTTGTTTGTCATTATTCTACCTGTTATTAATCAAAAGTCGAATTTTGGCCTAGTTACAAAGGCCTCATTGGTTTGTGTATACTAGATAACTACATACTTATCATTGAGACTATTCGTAGAAGAGCATCAGTTCACTCGTATGTTAACTGTTAGCTTTCTGCATGAGAGTGCACAAGGTTGAGGTTTTTGGTGTGGAAGTTTTGTGTACTGAGTCATAAATTGTGGTCGGGAGATCCATTTTATGTATGTTTTTCGTTTATCTTCCCGATATTTTTTCTGCATCTTAGTGCGTCATCCTCAATATGCCCATTCTGTAAATAACAAGTGTTGTATTTGATATACTGTAGGAATATAAACGAGTCGAGTCAAGCCGAGCTGGAGATTTTAAAGAACCATTAATAGAGCTCGTTTATCAATGAAATTCGACCTTGACGAGTCGAACTATAGAAAATTATATAAAAATTGCTATTTTCGAGCATATTATCGACTTGAGCCGAACCCGTCTTGTTAACTAAACGAGCTCCAGGTGATAAATGAGCCAAGCTGAGCTCGAGCTATAACGAGCAACTCATTTCATTTAACAGCTCTAAACATAGGAACCAAACTTGTTTCACATATCAATACCAATACAGGCAATAGTTGTTAGAACTTAGGAACAATTATATCAGTATTACACTCACAGTGCTGCATCTCGAATTCGATAAAATATAATGAAACTTGATCCATTGCACCAAATTCCTCCAACAAATGCTTCTTTTACAGCTTCCATGGATTTATAGTATTATATAAACAAATTCATTATCAACTTCGCAAGTAAAAATGAAAATGACAAAATAAGTTTCTATGGTCATACATGCCGAACAAAATGATTCCGAATGCTACTCAACTTCAAATAACTCCCTGGACACTTGAAATCCAACATTCCCTCCTACCTATGAATAAGTGTGCGGCACAACTTGACATAGTTCAGACAGCACCGGCTTAAGGTCCCAAATATTCAAAATTTAGCCTGCAAAAAAAACATGGAATCATCACTAGTATTCACAAGCACAAATCAAGAAAGTTTGACAAATGCGACATAAACAAATTCTCGAGCATTCCTTCAGTAAAAAAACAGCAACATTTATGAGAATCCACATTTGGACTTTAACTTTATGTTTAAATTATAATATGGGAACATACAAACACATACGCATGTGTGTGCGTGAAATATAATGTGCATATCAAGGAACAAAATCACCAGAATTCATAACCAAGATGTAAAAAATAATACACTGATGAACTCTCAGCTACAAGACCTTTTCAGTTAGAAAAACAACAAAAAAGAGATGGGCATACCCGTCTTTTTACAAATCAATGACTCGTCTGAGAAGCTTGTTGATACGAGTATCCTCCGGCAGTTGGAGGTACAGTTGCAGCAGTAACAGTAGTTCCGGTTGGATTAACACTGTACATATGTGTAGGATTTGGTGGTACCCCACTTGAGCTAGGAGGTGGGCCCACTCCTGAAATCTGTGGAGGGGCACTTGTATTTTGTGGGCCTGAAGCTGGAGGCCCACTCGGCTGTAAGGGTTGCATTGGCGGCAGCCCAGGGGCAGATGCGTAACCTGACAACCACCAAAAATGAAAATTTCAATTTTTGTTTCACTCTCGTTTGGCAATTTCAATTTGCGAGGATAAAAACAGGAATATAATACTGATTTTATTTTTTATTTATTCAATAAAAGAAATGCAAGATAGCAAGCTTACCAGGTGCGCCGGGGATAGGCATTGGCATACCGTGAAGAGGCCTCATGCCCGGGACAATTGGGGGCCCACCTGGAAAAGGTAGCGGATGAAGTGGCAGCATGACAGGCTGACGTGGCGGCCCTCCGGGAAAAGCAGCAAGATGTTGATTATAAGCTGCACCAATCTGTTGGTGCTCTTTGATTCTCTGATCGAGTAAAAGCTGTGTTTGCTGTTCTTCGAATTTTTGGTAGTAAGCCCTTATGTTTGCCTGGGTACAGGTCAGTACATAGAACATTCAGTGGTCAGTTTAATTATAGAAGTTTACGAATCTCTTTCTAGGCATGTTATACCTATATACATTTATACGAATGCTCTGAGAAGAGCTGTACCTTGTGCTTGTAACCAGAATTGTGCTGCTTCCTGACTGAAGGCTGGCAAAAGAAAGAATATTATAAAAAAAAAAAAATGAGACAAAGAAATCAGTGTACCAGAATACGTAGTACAGTGCACAGAAACAGGCTGAATAAATTTAAGTATTCGACATGAATGAAATGTACTATACGAGATATGAACGCGGTTAGTTTGAGAAAATGATGTCAACCACAGCGTAACATGTTACAAGTGCAGTGCACACTGCATAATATAACAGCCCATGTTAATGTGAGAGATAAAATGCAGAACAAGCGGGTGGATTCTTAAGCACCTAACCGCTACTATCAATGGAAAATAAGCTACAGATGAGAAGCCTAACGATCTCATTCCATTTAGCCTTGAAGGGATTGCCAATTATGACTTTTATCACGGATAAAGTTTGACCGGCTTGCTACAGATGACATTACATCACCGTATGATAAGATGTGGAGCACATGCCAACCTAACTAACTTATGCTAGAACCGTTTCTAGACTTCTGACATTATTCGGCCAAGCTTAGAAGTGTGCTGACCACAAAACGGGACAGTTTTGGTTCCCTTTTTTGCTCTGTCCTGCATCAACTTTAGCTAGACAAGATAATGTCCTCTCTAGCTAAATACTGAACAAAAAAAATGACAATGTAAACGTATACATTATTAGCACAAAATGTTATCCATGTCCCTACATAAATTAGCTGAGACCTCATTTACGTTGATCAGTATGAATTCCAGTTTCTGATATATAATCGGTCAGAAAATGCTATAGGTTGGATCTTTTGCAAGCTATCCAATATACACAATTATAAGGGCAAAATGCTGTAAATTTGCTTATGTTTCTACCATAAAATTAACTATAACTGGCCGGAACATGAAACTGAAGGCAACAAAGTCCTGCACGCAATTTCTATCATGGACCACAATTTAAAACAAAAAGTTCTTTAGTAGTAAGTAATTTATTAAAAATTCAAGAAAATTTGAATGAGCAGAGAAAAAGGAAAAGAAACAAGAAAATAAGCTTACGGAATCATGGGTCAAGTAAGTGTCGCAATAATCACAGTAGTACCTGAAGAACAATAAATAAAGATAAATTTAACAAATCAATTCTCTAGAAAATTGATGCCAATATGTAAAAAATACCATAAACAAGAAATCTCACACANCAAAAGGATGAATATGTATTAATACCGTGGCATTTAGCTCAGAAATTCGGCACAATTTGATACGTTTTGAAATATAAACTGTTAGGAGAAACAAGTAGAGAGATTGGCCGCAAAATCGAACGTAGAACTAAGTTATGTGAAGATTGGAGTGGGTTTTGGGGACTATCTATCGATTAGGGTTTATTGGCGAGAGAGCGCTTTTTTCCAAATACTTTGTGGGCATCATGGGTCGGGGGAAGCCCACCCATTTGCACTCACCGGGTCAATAATAATTAGTAAATACTAAATAGAGTTTTTCTTTTTTTGGAAAATCAAACCAAAATCCAAAAATAATTATTGGTCCATTTGACTTTCCCAAACAAACCAACCCAAAAAAAAAAAAAATTGTTGCCATACGGACGTTGATGTGTTGTTGCACCTCAAACCGGCATTCTGTTGGTCCTTCAACCAATTTGCTCTTCGTAGACCTGCAAAATGCATAAAACCTTTGATGATCTAATCAGCAAACAAGCCGAGCTGAGCCGAGCTAAGCTTGAGCTTAGAGTGCTCGAGCTCGAGCCCTTAACAGGTTGAGCAAACTCAAATCGTCAAATGAACGAGCTAGAAATTGAGCCCAAAATCGGCTCGTTTATCACTATTAACGAGTCAAGTTCGAGCCTTAACTAGTCGATCTCGAGCTTTAATAAGGCGAACAGTTATAAAAAATCTCTTTTCGAGCCTTATCGAGTTGAGCCGAGCTTAGCTCGTTAACCAAACGAGCTTTAAATGAGCTCGAGCCGAGCCAGACTCGTTTAATTTAACACTACCAGTTCATAGCTCCTCTTGTGTTAAGTCCTCATAGGTCTCTCTGGACATTACCAGTAGGTTCACCAATCTTACTACCCTAGGTGCATTACTAGTAGGGTCCACCAACCTACAGTCTACCTTTCCCTTACATACACATACTATCAGCAGGTCCATCAATCTTAATTCCTTAAATATATTACAAGTAGGTCAACGAATTAACATACTACCTATAGGTCCCTTACATACACATACTATCAGTATGTCCACTAACCTACTTGTCCTTAGTTCCTTTAGATACATTACCATATCCGAGAGGTCATCATCATGTCCGAGCTACCAAGATGTCATCATCGTATCCAAGCTACCAAGCGGTCATCATCATGCCCGAGCTACTAGCTGTTACAACCATGCTACTAGAGCTACCTCCGAGATATCTCACCTGAGCTACTCTAGGTCAACTTACCCAAGTTGTATAAGTGACAGTTCACCCGAGCTACTCAAGATCAAGTCTCCCGAGCAACATGAGGGACGACTCAACCAAGCTAACTATAGTCGGTTCATTTGAGCTATTTTATATGTTATATCAGTACTAATGATTCTTTTGTTTTTAAAAGAAAAATGAGAGTAAATGAATAACGATTTAAAAACAAACTATCAAGTCGTGGTTTAAATATACCAATAATGTTAAGGAGCCAACTGTTGGCTCCGTTATGGAGCCAACAACCAATGGGACAACTCCATGTGAGGCTGTTCCACATAGCTCCAATGTGGGACAGCCCCATATGAAGTTGTCTCATTGGCTGTTGGCTCCGTAACGGAACCAACAGTTGGCTCCTTAGCATTACTGTTAAATATACATGTAAATAAAAAAAAAAAAAAACTTAACCTACACCCTAAATGTTACATAAGCCGAGGTTCACTCAAGCCGGGATTGGCTACCTAGAGTGGATTTCATATATAACTGTGAAATGAAAGAGACTATTTTGCAATGAAAGACAAGTAGTTCAATTTACCAAATTTTGCAATGAAAGAGACTATTCTTCAACAAACCACAAACCTCTATACATGAAAGAGACTATTATACAAACCCGAGCTCAGCATAAGCTCAGAATCAGAAAGTAGCAAGATGAAAAATACATATGTCGAACTAAAGCCGGTTCATACAATTTCAGTTAATGATTAGTACTAAGACATGATCTCAAGAGCTTCCCTAGCTTTTCCGAGTATATTAAAAACGGTTGCTGCTATATGTGACGGTGTCAATCCCGCCTGCATCAATTGATCGGCCGGTGCACCGTGCTCTATGTATCGATCAGGAAGAACCAGAGGCCTCCACTGCACAATTTTTTATTTTTTTTCAGAAAAAAAAAACAAAAAACAAGAAATGAAAAGATGAACTATTAGTGCAGACTTTCGTATTACTGAAAAAAAGGCGGGACTTTTTGTCGTCACGTTGAAATAATGTAGCTTAATTATAATTAATTGGTTTACCTTTAGCTTTCCATCAAGAAGTCCATCCAGGGCCATGAACTGAGCAACATGCGAACCAAAGCCACCGATCGAACCTTCTTCAACCGTGATCAAGACCTCGTGTGATTTAGCCAAGGCCCGAATAAGCGAGTGATCCAATGGCTTGCAAAAACGAGCATCCGCAACCGTCAGCTTCAGGCCGTGTGGCTCGACTAAAGCAGCCGCAGCTAAACAGCTCTGAACAGCCGTTCCATATCCCAAAAGAGCCACTCTTTCCCCTTCCATCAATATTCGGCCCTTACCGACCTGAGTAAATACAGAAAGTCGAATCGTTTCTTGATTCAATCATATGACCCGGTTTCTACTTTTGGGTAGTATTTAAAGGAAAATAAAAAATAAAAAAACTTCCACATAGGAGGAATGGATGATTATAGCAAAAGTCGAAAAGTTGAGGGTGTGTTTGTATATTAAAATACCCAATCCATACTTAATCTATATATATATATATATATAAAGGTTTGATTATTTTTTAAATAGTAACTTTTCCCTAAAAAAAAAATCTATTTACTATTTTGGGAATTTAATTTAACAATTTATGGTATATATCAAATGATCACTTATGGAAATTCCGGCTAATTATTTAAGGAAGTAATTAAGCAATATTTTAAGATATCTTAATTACTCAAATCATGTGATTAATTAATATATGGTATAAAGTGGACGAATTTATTTTTGATATTGATGGTTGTTTCTATAGGAAATAAATCAATCAATATATGATATAAATGAGCAAATTTATTTAGGTTATTTGACAACTATTTTTTGGTAGAAAAATTGTTGAAAACTTAATCAATATACGGTGTACTCTTTTCTATTGCACAGGCCAATATATTGGTTTTTAGGCGTGGGTTTCAATTTCGTATGAAATTAACATAATAAAATTACCGTAACTCTAACAAAATTACCGTAAATTTCATATAACATTTTCAATAAATTAATATAGGTAAATTGTATTACATATTAATTCTATAGTTCAATTATAAATATTATTTAATTACTATTTTTAATTTGTAAATATTGATGAATATCTCTTACTCGTGCATCGTACAGGATTCGTACTAGTTCATACTCAAAATCTAACTCAACTTTAACAAAACTCCACTATCCTCAATATTATCAATATAATTAAATAGTACCACCCAATCATTCTTACGCATCGCATCAACTTTAATTTATTATTCACTCACTCACATTATTTTAACTAATCATCACTTCACAATATCTCTCTCCTACTTTTACATAACATCAACTTTAATTATTTTATTAAATATTAATATAAAATCAAAATCTCACTAACGACTAACCATACCACTTTTTTCAAAATTAACTATAGTTAACCAAAAAAACTCATTTTGAGGACATATGTGTATACAAACTACCTCAAGGGGAATGCCTTTGTTTCCTTTCGGCAGCTCGACTCCTATTCCGTTTCCTCTCGGATAACGAAAACAGCTCGGACGATCATCAATGGCAGCAGCCGTTGCAACCATGTGGAACAGTTCAGCCTCGTCCGAAGGAGCCATCACCACCATGTTCGGAAGGCACGCCATAAAAGCAACGTCAAAAGCTCCACAATGTGTAGGCCCATCAGCTCCAACTAATCCAGCTCTATCCATCGCGAATCTCACCGGAAGCTTCTGCAAATCCACATCATGCACCACCTGGATAATACGAATCGTGGGGTTTTCAAAATATTCCATTTTTTGTCATATCAATGGGAAAAAAAGAAAAGGAAGAAGGGAGAAGAAAGGATAGCGCGGGTTAGGCTTGCCTGATCGTAACCCCTTTGTATGAAAGATGAGTAGATTGCACAGAAGGGTTTAATGCCTTCACAGGCTAAGCCTGCAGCAAAAGTCACTGCATGTTGTTCGGCTATGCCGACATCAAAGCACCGAGTTGGAAAACGGCGCTCGAAGAGATTCAAGCCTGTGCCGCCTCCCATTGCAGCATGGATGGCAACTATATCCTTGTCTTTCTCGGCTTCTGCTATGAGGGCCTCTGCAAAGTAGGTCGTGTAAGACTGAGTTGGCATGCTCGATTTGAATTGTTTTCCAGTTGCCGGATCGAATTTCGTCACGCCTGCATTAAGTTTTCAAGCTCAATAAGAAACAACTAACTTTGATTTTTTTTTTAGTGTTTTAGAGGGAATAATGTACCGTGATACTTGTCTGCAGCTTTCTCGGCATATGGGTATCCTCTGCCTTTCTCGGTCACAACATGGATCAAAACCGGGCCTGTAATCTTAGTGTTCTTAACTTCTCTAAGAATAGATGTCAGGTCATCGAGATTGTGACCATCAACCGGGCCAATGTAGTAAAGCCCGAGCTCCTCAAACAGAGTAGACCCAGATCCACTGATGAGCCCACGAGCATATTCGTCTACCTTAGCCGCTAGCTCATGCATAGGCCCTCCAATTTGCTTAGTCACTCCCTAAACGAAATAAAAATCAAGTCACCAACACATGAAAAAATTGTATTTTCTTCGTTTGTTAACGATTTTTTCTTTTAAAAAAAAAAAGAAGACCAAGAAAAGAACAGAAGAAAAACTAGCTTCGGTTATTTATGTGCATTTGTTGGAATGCTAACCTTGGCGACTTCTCTTAGTTCTCTGAGGGGTCGATTGGACTGTAAGCGGCTCAAAGCACTACTCAAAGCCCCAACTGGAGGAGTGGGGCCATCCAAATTAGCAGTGGGCAAAGAGACTTGTTTGTTGTCGTTAAGAATGACGATCATGTCAGAATCTAAGTAGCCGGCATTGTTCATTGCCTCGTATGCCTGGCCAGCTGTCATGGCACCATCGCCTATAACGGCCACTACATGATTCTTTCTGCCTTTAAGGTCCCTTCCCACGGCCATCCCTAGACAAAAACGGGAAATAATAACTTATATACTTTCCAGAACAGATTTTATGTAGCAGAAACGGAAAGTGACTGAAAATCATATAAGTTAGTAGTGTTCAAATAGAAGCTAAAAACTTGAGCATCACGTACAGTGATAAAACTACAAAATCCACAGCCTTAGGTTTGAGGTACTTACGAAAAGACCCAGAAAAATCTCGAAATTGTAGAAAAAAGCCTCAAGAAAAAGACCCATGATTCTTCAAGAAGTACTTCAAACTCGAGGGACGTATTGAAAATTATCTTAAATTTAAAGATAGTGGTTGATGCATAAACTGCAAAACTAGTACATTTATAAATAAAGCCAAATCCAAAATTCAGCCCATTCACTGCTTCTAGATTCTTATCCGTAAAGGGAATTCGAAGTTGGCACATTAAACACGAAAAAAATCTTCTTATTTAGGCCAAATGTATATCGATTCTACCGATTCTTTTTCGCCGCTGAGGCAGATAATGAAAGTGGAGAAGATTTTTCTTTTCTTTTACCTAATCCAGCTGATATAGTTGTCGAGCTATGACCGGTACCAAAGCAGTCGTAATCACTCTCAGACCGCTTAGTAAAACCTGAAAGGCCTTCCGTCTGTCTCAGAGTCGGCATTTTCTGTCTTCGGCCGGTCAAAATCTTATGAGGATAAGACTGAAAATAACACAAACCCAATATCACAACAAAGACACCAACTATTATCAGCCTAAGCATTTCACAACTTTGTACACAAGTAGTTATGACAATGGATATATATAAGAAACTTCACCTGGTGGCCAACATCCCAAAGTATTCTATCTTGAGGAGCATTAAAAATGTAATGAAGGGCCACAGTAAGCTCGATAACACCTAGGCTCGAACCAAGATGACCCCCGGTTTTCGACACGTTGAAAATAACATCCGAACGCAGCTCATCTGCAAGCTGTTTCAATTCCTGCACGTAGAAAGATTCGAGTTTTAGTGGTAAAAGACTGCATTAAGATACAAGAGTGAACTGCCAAAATAAGGCCTTGCAGCTTCCGAAATGTGGATTACAAGTCCGAGATAGGAGTATTTAGTAAAGTAAACACAAATCCTAGTTATGTTTGTTATTAGTTTCATGGGTATTTATCAAAACAGATATTTTCTAAAATGCATGCTCTAAGTACCTTTACTGAGAGATTTTTCATGTGGATTGGATAGTTGATAGTGTCCAAAAGAGGAGTTGCTGGCTTATGAGAGAAATACTCCCCTCTGTCTGAAAGTGATGCACAAACCCCAGATGACCTTTTCCTTGTCTTCAATCAAAACAGGACAAAGTAAAACAACACATTGTAATCAATCATAACAAATCTTAAACTATAGTTTGATATAATATAAATGCATTGTACAATTTATTTCTATGTAAAAAAAAATAACATTGTCTAGAAATAAACAGCACACACATATCTTCAATACCATATATATGTACTTAATATTTAAAATTATTGGAAATATATGCATCCAACAACACACAAAATGATTATGCAAAATCTAATGCATTAGTGTAAAATCATTAATAATTTCATTTTTACATATTATCAAGCATAATTTATAAGATATATTCTATAAAATATATTAATTAATATGATCAAATGTAATGATTATGCAAAATCTAATGCATTAGTATATTAGTTTTAATATGATTATTATTATTTTATTATATAATTAATGTAAATTTCATGCATAAAATATGACATTAATTTTATTTTTTAAAATAAATTTAAAAAAATGAAGATAAAATACAAGCACCCACCTAGCTAGCCTAGGCATGAGTATAACTTGGCAACTGACTAGCACACCTAGATTTCATCTAGTTCGATTACCTAAAATGACCGCCTAGGCAAAAATTGTGGCACCTAAATGCCAATACCGATTTTTAGAACAATAAACAATAGACATAAGCGATTATTAATTTTAAAACAACACACAGAGAAATAAACTAAACCAAAATTTATAAGACAAATGTAAAGTCACAATACAAAGCAAAGCAAACAATATAGACCACAAACATAACATGGCCCCTTATCCAAGACCAAACCACATGACAATCTCAAAAGGTACGACCATATTTTCTCCTCCCTTTTCTGTCTATGGTCCAAATAATGGGGAAAAAGTGTAAGAAAAATCTCAAACCTGATTATTCTTGCAGAAGACCAGACACTGTAGACCCATCCCATTTAGCCATTGCGAACATAAACTTGGGTGCTTCTCAAAATCAGCTCTTAATCCCTTTCTCAAGCTCCCAGAACAAGGAAGTGTACACAGAGCCATTATATATGTGTGTGTGTGTGTGTGTTTTACCCAAAAAGGGAAAGAAGAAAAAGATAAAATCTCAGAGACCCAAAACAGATACCAACATTACTCAAACTTTTCACTCATAAAGATCCCAACTTTACAAAGTAGTCACACAGGAAAGACGTTCTTGAATCTTCTTTTCACTCAACAAGGTTCAAGTTTCTATGGGGGCTTTTAGATCTCAGCTTCTCAATTCTCATGAGCAAAAAAAGAAAAATGAGATGAAGAAATTAGTAGGAAGGTGGTTTTTTTTCTTTCTGCAATTCTGCTATAGTGAGGTGAGGGGTTTGTAGTTGGAGCATTTAAATGGACAACACAGCATTAGGCATTAGCCATTATTTAATATGTCTGACCAATTTATAGTGTGAATTGGAGCAGAAATTGAGAGAGTAAGTGCTGTATGAGGTGTCAGGCTGCTGTTGGGCCACCTCAGCAGAGAGATTCACAAAGGGATATAGAGATATGATAATGTAATGTATATTAATTAGCTATTGGAGGAAATGCTATGCTATGCTACACAATAACACAACCATAATCACATCAAGTTGTGTTAAAACTCTTGAGGTAGAGCTTTGCCGCTCTTGTGGTCCTACCCGGCTCGATTCCTGATTAGTCGGTCCCCTAGGGGATTCGGAAACCGGAAGGTTCATTGTACAAAAAAAAAAATAATCACATCAAGTTTACCATAATATAGTATCATGTGGTTTTACACCAAATATGAAATTTAAAATCAACAAATCATACTTCTACTCAATAATTATATGAAATATTATGTTAAAACAGCATGATTCAATATATAATTGATAGGAAATGAATCACTTTTTGACCAGTTAATGTTATCTTCTTGTTTTTGGATCAAAGTTAGATGTTGGTGTTTCGCTTTCGGTTTGATTTATATGTTATTGTTAAAATATATATTGTTGGAATATCACTTGCGAGTTGTTCTATATTGATTCTATAGAAATAATGAGCTTAACTTATATGATTAGTGGGTTACTCCTCTCATCAGCCATTAATTTTGGGTAAAAATCTCATTAAAGGTGCACTTAGCTCACCCTCTTGCGTGGAATCGCACCATTTCCTCCCGAATCTCACATATATATTACTTCCATTTTAAAAGATGAGTAGAATTCAAAAGATAAAATTTTTCAATTGGAAATGTTTTATCAACTACAAACTTTGAATCTAGCTTTCGAGGCGCAAATAGTNACAAGTGAGTAGGTTCCACGGTTCACATTCCTTTTCATTTTTCCAGACATTAGGCTATTGTTTGTCCACGTTGGTATAATAACTTTTAATATTGACTGACATTAAATTTTTATGTAAAACGTCTATCATAATATATAAATAAAAATTTATGTTTATATCCACAAATATTAAACTTTATTTTATATAAATTTTCTAAGTGTAACATAATCTAATACATATTGGAAAAAGGTTATTATGATTGGCCAGTAGTTAGGTCAAATAATTAAAAATAGTAACCTTTAATTTCATTGTCAAAATTACAACAAGGATATAGGAATGAGGTGAACAATAATTCCTTCTTAATAAAAAAATGATTAGTGTGTAGTAATTAGGATGATTATCTAACGAGGAAAAAATAATAGGGGGACACAAAGGGGTAAGAAAATAGTAACTCGTCGAGACTAACATGTCCACTGTATATTTGTGAGTCGTGACACACCACTAAGGTAGCATTATTTTTTTTTTTATTTTTATTTTATTTTTTATTTTATTTTTTTTATTTTTTTTTGTATACAAGGTAGCATTATTATGGGCAATAAAACATGACACAAATTGTCATTTGCCAAATGTCCAAGCAAAGCACGTCAAAATCACCACCAAACTTCAGTCACTCCCAAATTGATTTTTGGCCCACTAATAACATTATAAGTAGAACGATAACGTTTTATTTCTTATATATTAATATATGAAATAACTCCATAATTAACACATCATAATTTGNACACACACAAACATCATAATTTGGGTAAAGAATGTATGAATGAATAAAAGCGAGTAAATCTTAACAAAATCTTTTGATAAGATGATAAATAAAATGAGGTTCATAATTAGACACGTGGCATTCATGCCGGATTTGCAATGAACCCTGGCCCGTACTACCTGTACTGTCGGTCTATAAAACATTAAAACTGACTAATTGTTGACTCTATTATTTGCCCATAATCCATATTCCATATGCAAGTTCAAATTAGAAATAAAATTGTTGCATTTCAACAACATATAATCCACAACATTTCAAAAACTGACTAATTGTTGACTCTATATAGCATATCAACTACCGATGAATAATCCAAATGAGCTCATAAAAATACTAAGCATGAAAAATGATGTTAGAAACTTAGAACAAGTTACTAATGGAAGGAAACAACTTACAAAAGATGTCGTTACTCGAAGAGCAAAAGAGACTAGGCATTTGTCAATGTTGAATTCAGACATCAGGGAGAATATAATTTTAGGTTTGAGCACATAATGGCACATATAACTTGTTTAGCCCACTTCACTGGAACAACTTTTTCGGGCAAGATAATAACATTATCCGAAAATGGAGGTAGACAAACACAATTATTGAAAACGCACTTGTGTACAGCCACACGACTTCATCAAGCTCATTTCATCTTGGCCTCGGTGAACAGAACATGGCGGTTCACACGAGGGTCGTACTTTCGGAACTCAAGCTTGATATTATTGCTCTGAAGCCTCTTTGTCTTTTTCACCACGTAGAAAAACCCAGTCCCTGCAGCTGAGACGAGCCTCACCAGCATAGCACCAGCCTTCTTCTTCTCACCCATTTCGACTGTTTATGCAAAAAAAGACAAAACATTGAAAACAAGCAGCAGGTGATGATAAAAAATTAAAAATAAGAAGAAAAGGAACAGAATGCATTTTTCTCCGTCACAAACATCGAGATAAATAGAAAAGTAAGCGCTTTCAACCAGTCAATATCTGAAATCCACTACTAAAGCAAACACACTCATTGAAAACCAGGTAAACACAATAGCAATGCTACCAACAAGGGTTAAGCATCCAAGAACTAGAAAACACTAGGGAAGGAGCCTGCAAACTAGAGCGTCTTCGGATTCAAGACTGTTTTAAGGAATGAAAAAAAATCTACACTAGAAACATAATTTGCAAATACAACAACAACAAAGCCTTTAGTCCCAAACAAGTCGGGGNCTTTGGCTTTCGAGGGCACATTATGTATTGGAATTTACATTATCATGACAAAATAGATGATCAGGAGAAACAGCTGATGTTGGTGGGTCTAGGTTTTGGTTTGGGAGGAGAATGAAAGAGCTTAACAAGAAACAATTCAATATCTCTATGAGGAATAATATCAAACACCATGACACACAAGTTTTTGGAGGGTCAAGAGCAAAAGAACACAAGTTCAAAGTCTCCAACATTCAAACAACTTGGGACAGAAAAAAGAATAGAGAGCTACAACTAGAGCAGGGAGCAAGGGCCTTTTCAGTTTTGATCCTAAATATCCAAAATTTACTCCTGAGTGTATTCATTTCCAATACTAAATCTTTAAGAAAACCTATATTATATCTGTATGAGGAATAATACCAAACCCCTTGACACATAATTTTTGGAGGGCAAAGAGCAAAAGAACATACGACCCCCAACATCCGAACAACCTGGGTAAAAAATAATAATAAATATACAGCTACGACTAGGGGTGTTCATCGGTCGGTTCAGTCGACCGACCGAACCGAACTATAAATACCGAATTCTTAAATTTCAAAAACCGAACCGGCCGAAATAATTCTTTAAAACCGAAGTATAACCGAACCGAAATGTTCGGTCGGTTCGGTCAGTTAACCGAATTTTTACAAAAAACAATTTTTTCAGTCAGATCTTGATGTAAAAATACTCAGTACTATGACTGAAAATAATGAAAAGACTGAAAATAATCCAATCAGCAAATCCAAATTATACCAAGAACTCAAAATCTAACATTAAATAGTTCTGATCAATTATCATATATAGTTTATTCCACAAACCCTTCTGAACAGATGGAGTAGAGATTTAGCATGCACCCACAAGAAATAACTTACTGCTACTGCAAATACATAAAATAAGGAGCTTTTTAGTTTTTGTTGCAGAAACAATATAATGAGCCAAATTAAAGCACATCAATTTCAGGTGTAACATAAAAAAGAACCACTAAAAAAGCTACTTCTTAAAAAACTAGAGCAGAACATAAAGTGGCCCAAAGAAATCAAACAAACAAGAATTCAAAAATTACAACAAAACGGAATAAAATTATAGGAAAGAAACCGAGTTACGCAGGCTCAGCAATGAGATGAGGGGACGATTTGGTGGATGGTTTGGATTGAGGCGATTTAGGGCGGACTGCGGAGGAGCAGCGGCGGTGGAGCAGCGCGGAGAAGTAGCGGCGGAGGATTTGTGGACGGCGGCGGATGAATTGGGGAAGGGAAGGGTGTCCCGTTTCGTGAAGATGTTTAGGAAATTAGGAGTTACTTATCTTTTGTATATTTGTATTATTAAAATATTATATCATATATAATATTATATATATATATATTTTTTTTATTCGGTCGGTTCGGTTTTTTCGGACATTTGATGTCCGAAAACCGACACCAACCGAAATAATCGAACAATAGTATAATGAAAACCGACAACCGACCGAGTCGGTCAAAAACCGAACCGAAATTTTCAATTTGATCGCTTCGGTCGATTTTAGTCGAAATATGCACACCCTTAGCTACGACTAGAGCAAGGAACAAGGACACTTCCAGTTCTGACACTAAATCTTCAAGATACCCATCTGTGAGGCATAACATCAAACACTTGGTACACATCGTATACCGGTATACACCCCATAAATTCTATTGCACGAGATTTTGAATTAGTGTAAACTGAAAAAAGATATGATTCAGACATATATGACGATAATGTAAACCTACGTGAAGCCGCGCTAAACGAAAATGGAGTGAGGGACTTATCAGTGGCGAGTGTGTACGAACGCGAGTGCGAGAGACAGAGAGAGATTTGTGTGAAATACAAAAGATGAAAAGAGGATTTGAGCAGTAAATCGCTATTGGTAAACTGGTCCAGCCCATTATTATTGACAGGCCACCGCCTTTGGGCCATTGGGTATTTAAAGAGAAGGTGTGGCCCATTAACTTAAACTATCAAGGGCACGTTTACTTTGCGGGATAAGATTGATAAGGTATCTTATCCCTCACTATCCTCTGTTTACATTGATGGATTTGGATAGAAAATTCAGATGTGGAATCACATGTGTCGGTGGGCCCCACACTGAAATGCTGAGTTGTCCGATTAATTCTGTCACGCCCAGACGAAGTGATAATTGTATCCTCTACTGTTCATTACTTTTTTGTCCTCAAAACTATAGCCAAAGTGACAAAATTGCCCCTTACAGCCTAATTAATTACAATAACCTACCATCGTCATTCCCTTTTGATCAAAGTTAACCTAGCAGACGACATTGCAGAGGAGAAACGTCCAAACCTCATCGTCATTCCAATTTCAGTTAAGCTCGAACATCGACCTCATCGTCATTCACATTCATCAGTGTTGATTTTTGCCCGATCCCTAGCAAACCACATTGCAGAGGAAAACATCGACCTCGTCCCCATTCCTTCGGCAAGGTAAGCTCCAATAACACTTTTTACTTTGCTTTGTTTTGGATAACGCAAACAACACTTCAATTTCGACGCTCTGTTCATAAACCCTATTTTATGAGAGCCGGGTTTTGTCGGATTCGGGTTTTTCAGGCTTCATTGAGTTGTGTAGGGTATTATTAGATTAGATCGATGTTTGACGAGGCATGGTTAATGTGGTAAGGTATTATCTCTCTGTTGTGCTTGGTTTTATCCATTCGTATGTACAGAGAATGTTGGACTAGGCATGGCGAATGTGGTTAAGATTTAACACCTGCACCATTGAATTCAAATTGAGAGGTTAAACATTCAAATTTGGGTAAAATTGGCCTCTGCCTGTGATTTAAGTTGACATGAAAACAGGTCAGGTAAAAAGTAGTCCATTCTCTGTGAATATGTGATGACTTATTGTTGGCAGGTGCAGCACTAAGATTGAGAACATTTGAGTCTACATTATCCCTCTTTGTTCATAAATTGGTTGCTACATAGGAGATTGTCTGAATTCTTGCTTCACCCTTCAGTATTGCTGTTTTTGTGCACTGAAAATTGTTGCTGAATGGGAGATTGAAATTGAACTTTGGTATATCTGTTTCGGTGATGATATAGGGTGATGAAAGTGTTAAACATGTTACAACAAGTTTTGTATTTGAATCTGGCTTTCCCCAGTGCTTTAGCATTGAAATAATTGGAGCATGCTATTGTCTGCCTTTAATAAATAGTTTCACGCAGACATATGTAATCTAATTTTTCATAGTGAGATGCTGATTTTGAATTGCTTTCATAGTACAAAGGTTGTTGGTGTTAGAAATCTCATGAGGTAAGACATTTTCTTAATGCTGAGTGAAGTGCTGCAGATATGTGTGTTTCTGTGATATTTTGTATGGATTGGTGGACTCATATTCGTAAATAAAGTTGTTGGGTGTGTCTAGTTCAACAACATTATCAAAGAAAGAATCATGCGAAGAAGGATATACACAGTTATGCTCAGTTTGCTTAGATAACTTTAATAGAAAACACTTTCCGTTGAAGACCACATCTGTAGAAATAATTACTCTGTCATTGTTAAGGAGAATCTTGTATCCCTTGAACTGAGAACTATAACCCAAAAATGTGTGCTTGTTAATACCTCAGTTAAGCAGGTTATCTTTTGTATATGACTTCATATGGGTGAAACTTGCATATAAAAAAATCCTTAGATTATCATAACTTGGCTTAGAACCATAGAGGAAGGGTGAATTGTAGCCTATTGTCTTGTTTGGGATTGTGTTTATGTGATAAATGGTTGTGCTAAAAGTTTTTCAAAATATTTTGTGAACCCCTTATTGAGACATCCAACTAAGAGACACTTCTATAATATGTCTATGTTCCCTTTATACAATAAGTCCATTTTTGTTGTGGTGTATATGAGCAAAAATTCCTCAGGATGATTTAATTTCAGTGAATAACTTTGCTAAGGACTTAAATTCTGTCCATCCATCATTTTACACTATCTTAATTTGTGCCTTACTGGCTCTAAGCAAGGTTTTTAAACTGAGTTTCAGTTGTTACATTATCTGATTTGTGATTAAGTAAGCAATTCTAGGTGTATTTGGTATAACCATGAACAAAGGCTACATAGTAAAAGGATCCTCATATGTACAGGTTTTGAAAGTGTGTTCATATTTTCATATGTACAGGTTTTGACCATGTGTTCATATTTTCATATGTACAGGTTCTGACCATGTGTTCATATTTAACTCAGAAGTTGGAACAATAATCTTGTGCTTTCCATTCCTGAAATAAGAAAACATAGCTATTATTGACGGTTAAATCGGAGTCGTGGATTGGTAGAGATAAACTGACCTGTCCTTCATAAAGCATGAGTTTATACTATTTCATTTGTTACTTATCTACTTGTACAATATTACTAACATTAAAGCAAATTTCTTGTGAGGTTCACTTAAGATTCGACAACGGAAGCATCCCCTGGTCTTGCGGAATTCTACATAACCGGTTGTTTAGGTACATTGTCCTTTTTTCATATATTACTCCTATGTTCTTGTATTTCTTGGGGCTTCTTGCAATTTTAGAAGTAATTTATGTCCTTACTTGTCGTCGTTGCTGAATGGTAATTTGCTTGATTTGTATAAATTTTGGTTGTTACTCCAACATTAAGATCATTGAATGGGTGAACTCCACATGTTTTTCAATCTTTGTAGATAGATAACGTGCGAACCAAATTAGTAACTCTCACTCTTTTGGAAGAGATTGTTATTGGTGCTCGATTTTTTTTCATAGTAGCTAATTACTACTACCACAAATTCATAATCCCTCGCCGCCGTCGACGTTTGTTCACTAGCGGACTCACATATCGATTGAGGGATAGAGTGCCCCTTCAAGTGAGTCACATGCAACGGCTAGTCGACGTCAGTGACACCACTTGCCTTGAGAACCTCCGTATGGACAGAAACTGTTTTGGTCGCCTTTGTTTACTCCTCGAAAATTTAGGGGGTCTTGTTCAATCTAGAAACGTTGTACCTAGTGAACAAGTTGCTATGTTTCTTTCAATCCTCGCACATCACAAGAAAAACGTCACTTTGAAGTTTGATTTTACGAGATCAGGTAGAACTGTAAGCAAGTACTTTAACCGTGTACTTGATGCGGTAATTCGCCTTCATACCGTCCTAGCCGCCAACCCTAAACCAGTTGAGGATGATTGCTCAGATGAAAGGTGGAAATGGTTCAAGGTAGCCCATAACGCAAGATCCTTAACAACACTTAGTCAAATTTTTCTTTAGTACTACTTCCAATCTAATACTTATTTATATTTTTCGTTAGGGGTGTCTAGGAGCACTAGATGGAACATACATTAACGTTCGAGTCCCGTCGAAAGATAAGGGAAGATATAGGAATCGAAAGGGTCAAGTAGCAGTTAATGTACTTGGGGTGTGTGATAGAAATATGAACTTCGTCTACATGCTTTGTGGCTGGGAGGGGTCTGCTGCAGATAATCGAGTATTGAGAGATGCAATCACTAGGGCAAATTGTCTCCGAATCCCAAACGGTATTCCCCTTATTTACAGTCATTACATATGTAAAATAGCACCCACCCGAGAACGACTACATCAAACTTAACACAATCTTTTATAACGTAGGAAACTATTATTTGGTGGACGGTGGCTACACGAATGGTCCTGGCTTTCTAGCGCCATATAGAGGTGTGAGATATCACTTGGATGAATGGGGTACAGGGTCTCGTGTTCCACAAAACTTTAAAGAACTCTACAACCTTCGGCACGCCACAGCTAGAAACGCGATTGAACGTGCTTTTGGCATTCTAAAAATGCGTTGGGAAATTCTTAGGAGTAACTCTTTTTACCCCATTCGGACCCAAAATCGCATTATCATGGCGTGCGCGCTTATTCACAATTTCATACGTACAACAATGCCCGAAGACCCCATAGAGAATGAGATTCCACAATTCCCGGTACCTTCCAACCCATCGTGTGACGACGACTACATAGATCAGGTTGAATGCAGTCAGGAATGGACCCAGAAGCGCGACCTCTTAGCCCAACAAATGTTTACAGAATGGCGGGGCGGTGGTCCTTAATGTATAAACAAACATAGTTTTATTTATTTTTTACTGGCTGAAAATTCGTGTTGTTGAAGGTGTTGTTATGTTGATTATCGGGATTAAATATTATTGTGTTTTGGTGGATTTCCTATATATTTTTTCTTCAGTAATATACATTTTGTTTGACGACATTGTTCATGCGCCTCCAATATTAAATAATGACTATTACCCATAATAAGTAACATAAAAAGACTTGCTACAACTTTATTGTCGCTTCAGGAACAAATGGAACCGTCATTTACTTCAGATACCGCGAAAGAGGGGGCATCCAGCTCAAGACGACGTGTTTGGACATCGGGAGAAGAGAGAGCCCTAATTAATGCTCTTAAGGAGATTTTGGTTGAGGGTTGGAAAACGGAAAATGGCTTCAGAACGGGATACACAGGTGCTTTGGAAAAGAAAATGAGTACATTTCTTCCAGGATGTGATCTTCGTGCTGACCCGCACATAAGCTCCAAAATGCATGTCTGGAAGAAAACTTATGCGTGCCTGGCCAATATAAGAGCAAACAATTCGGGAATGGGTTGGAATGATGTTTCGAAAAGCTTCTCATGTGATGACGAGAAGTGGGCTGCTTGGCTTAAGGTTTGTTTGTAGTTAAAATTCCAACTTTCAATTGTCTACATATTTCACATAAATTACATATCCCCTTATTACATTTGTTGCGGCCGAAAATATTACCAATAGGTTGATCCTAACGCTAAGGGACTGAGGAACAAGTCTTTCCCCCACTATGATGATTGGGAGATAATATTCGGGAAAGACAGAGCCTCTGGTAGTGATGCCCAGGCGTTCGCAGACGCGGCTCAGGATATCCAGCCGGACCCGATGTACCAAGAACGCGATGACAT